TGTGAACTTAAACGACACGTCCGATGACAAGGTCAAAGAACGGTTTATGTTCAGGTCAAAAACAACAAGGGTGGTATGGGCACAGACCAAAATAACAGAAAAGGGGGAATCGCGTTGTACAATATAAAAGGTAGGAGAAAGGAATCAACAATATATATATATATATATATATATATGAAGACTAAACCATTGTACAAGATTTGACTAGTCACCAATGTGACTAACTCACCCTCAGAAAGGGCGTAGTAACAATCACGGTTCCTTCGAGGAATTTTCGAACGTGATTTTATCCCGGGGGGTTTCGTGAAATGTACAGCGGTCATGATAAAAATGGTTGTTTGGAGCTTCGTGGATTTCAGCGTGGATCGATCGATTTTACTCACAGGACGACACATCTGTGGAGTATTCCCATATTCCGCACACTACCAACGTGAGTTGTTCACAATAACATATAAAGTAGTGCAGCGGAAAGACTCACCGAATTTCACTAGTTGGAAGAATGCACAGAAGGCACATAGCATGGCTCAGACGTGTATACGTAAATATACGTTCTGCCTGTATGAATGTTTGCTTTCATTCCTCACTTACTTGGAAGGCACATGAAGACAACTGAAATACAATTAATGCTTTATAAGTTCCGAGAACAAAATTTCAGTGTGACACAAGTGTGCGCGCGGAAAGCAATTTGCATATAAACAAACGATAACGCCTGAAGCCTTTGGTGTGCAAAACGGTTGTTCTGCGTTAAGTAAAGCGTTTTTATGAACGATTTTTTTCAAAAGAGCAAGAGAGAGCACATGGATCTATGGTTGATCATTCTGCATCTTTCTTGCAGAATTATGCATTATTTGAGAAAGAATCGCTCGCTCCGCTGAAAAATTCTTAAGCGAACTTAGTGGTGCCGAATGCGACGCATGGTACAGCGTTTATGGTTCGTTTAACGTCTAATCCCTTTGTCAGTGTTCCCAGATTCCCCTCCAGGAATGAGATATAGTACAACTGAATGTGTGCATTATGATCATCGGCAGCAGGACATCATTGTTGGACACTAATGCTTCGCTGCCATCCTTATTTAAAAGCCTTATTGTAAAATACTAAGAGTGAATAGGGAAGGGACTCAACGCTAGCTTACTATAATCACTCCAAGGTGCCTACATTTCCAGACACTAATTCAGACAGAAACTGATAACAAGAACGCCAATGACATCGATTAGCAGCCATAACTTTCAGAATTGTGATGAATGACGGCGTCAGAATCCCCATCATTTCCCATAAAAATCCGATAGGCATATTTTCTTCATCCACACTATTTGGTCACACGGAATCCAGACCGCGGCGCTGCGTTCCCAGTCAGATGTGGTCATCTTAGTTTTTCATCGGGAGAATGTTGCCCTGATGGTGTTTTGCCTTGTGGTGGAAAAAAACTTAGATGTAGGCTGGAAACCAACCGAAGGTGGTCTCATCATCATCATCAAAGACAGCAACAGAAGGTGGTCATCATCATCAAAGACAGCAACAGCAGTGTTGGCACTGATGCTTCACTGCCGTACAACCATAAGGTTTATCTAGTTATCTAATCTATTATATAATTATATTAAAAGCCCGAGAGCGAAGAGAAGAGAAAAAGTGGGTGAGGGAGGGGAACAAGTGCTGGCCTATGTCAAGCATACTGAGGTGCCTACACCTACAACCGCTCAACCAGACAATCTGGAAAGAAACTGACAGCACGAACGCCACTGACATCGATCAGCCGCCATTTCTTGCAACGTCTCCAGCCAAGCACAGACGGGGTCACGGGGACCCCATCCTGGAAGTCGCACAACACCAACAACACCCAAACTCTTCGTGATCT